TATTACAAAAAAAAAATAATAAAGATGTTTCTAAAAAAAAGGGGGGTACAGACCTCGTGTCCGTGTGTCACAGCGAGTAGGCGCACACAGAAAAAAGTTTGCCTACTCCAAGCATAAATTGACTCGTAGATCGGCCACTGCACCAATGCGTACGGGCTCTAGTAAGTGATGTGATATCCAAGCATATGTTACGGACCAACCCCGATGCTCGGGCCAAGCTAGGTTGGCCCGGTCTACGCCAGCCTGGCCCAGGGGAGGTCGGGCCAAGCTGGTTTGCACCAAGTTGGGCCGGGCAAAAGGCGGGCCAAGGTAGTTTACATCAACTTGGCCCAAAGGCGCGCGGGCCATGTCCAATGCGGTATGAGAAATCGAATGTAGAGGTAGGAGAAATCGAATTGAAACCGAAGGGGGAAGTACTATTGTTAGACTGGTTGCCATTAGAGTCAGAGTCCCTGTTAGGTCAGTTGGAAAGATGGCTGGAGTGCAGTTCGCTGATCCGGTGACGGTGCCAGACAAGACAAGATTTAATGCAAGACTAGAAGAATTCATCGACGATTGAAGACAACCACGGACAACACCAACTACTTCTCGGAGGAAACGTACAGGAAATTCCTAAAGGAGATCAAGGAGGCGTTGGAGAAACTGAAGAGCCCAACCTTAAAGTACCTGAAAGAAAAAGATAAGAGGCGATTGAGACGGTTCAATATTTTTGCACAATCAATGGAGAAGACCGGCTCATTGCAGGTAATGGCGTGGGAAACCCCCCTCCAACCACCATGAAATTTTGGCGACTTCTACGACGTCATCTTGGAGGCTCACCTGGCGACAGAGCACAAAGGTAGAAACGTTCTGCAAGATGCCCTGGGCAAAAAATATGCCAATGTCACGGAGGTGGCTATCCAGAAATTTTTGGATTTGTGACCCACCTGCCTGAAGAAGAAAAGGACGAAGAGGAGAGGGCTGGTTGTCGGACCCATGGTTTTCAACCAACCAAATGACCGAATGCAGATCGACCTCGTCGATATGCAAACCATGGCTGACGGGGAGTGGAAGTGGATTCTGGTGTGTCAGGACCACTTGACCAAATTCATCCACCTTCGCCCATTGAAGTCAAAGCGGGCCATCGAGGTGGCTGAGCATGTGCTGAGTATCTTCTTGGTGTTTGGCGCTCCCACGGTTCCCCAGAGCGACAATGGCAGAGAGTTCTGCAACGCCATCATCGACTCACTGCGAGAGACGTGGCCCGAGCTCAAGATTGTCCATGGTGAGTAAGGTGTCCAAGAGAGTCTATTATATTCTAACTAATATTGTCTGACGTCTTATTCCTTGTGCAATGTGGTAGGGCGGCCTCGTCACTCGCAGAGCCAGGGGAGCGTCGAACGTGCTAACCAAGATATCCAGGACATGCTCACCGCCTGGATGATGACATACAACTCGACGGAGTGGGTAAAGGGGCTGCAATACGTGGCGTCCAAAAAGAACAGAGCCATTCACCAGGTAGAGTGGGGGTAGTAAGTTACCGCGCCAGGATGTCGCCGGTCGGTCCTTGACCTGGATGTTACGTAACAGGGCACCGGGCGTTCGCCGTACGAGGCTGTCTTTGGCACGTCCATGATGAAGGTGGGAATCACAACAGCCATACCCAGTACCACGGTGCCTCAAATGGCCACCGAAGAGAAACTCCAGGAGTTTTTGGAGGGTATTAACGTCGGCAGCGGCGGCCCCGGCAGCCCTCCCAGCAGCCCCCGACCACCCCCTCCCGGACAACCTCCCCTCGGTTTAAAACTTCCCGTCTAACTTCCCTTCTTGTTGTGTCCAATACAACAATATTCCTCTATATCCTTTCATATCCCTTTGCGCAGGACGCAGAGTTACCGCCCGCCCTCCGCCCGTACAGTCTCCACCCCAGACCCGCCCGTCCCCTCTCAAGACACCCCCTCGCCCAAGCACCTACCGGACGCGTACCTTCGTGCGGTCTCCCTCTCTCTCCCCTCATGCATCCGCGGTCCAGGTCCAGGGCGCTCGTGCGCTGGCAGCCATCCGCTCCCGCCCTGAGCTTGTTACACCTGTGTCAGCCCCGCGCTTCAGTGGGTGGGACGTCCCGAGCACATCGGCTCAGCAGTGCACTGGATGTGGGCGCGACTCTGCATTCAACGAGACCTGCGCAGGGTGTGGGCGACCTGTCCACACTCTCTGTGCGCATGCCGGTTTCTTGTGCACATTCTGCCAAAGAGCTGGCAACATCCAGAGGCATCAGGCAGCAGCTGGACAAGGCCTCCTCGCCCCAATGGCGGATTAAGATCCGGCTGACAGGGGGGGGGGGGCATGCACTGTCGGTTGCCTACATACAGGGGTTTGTGGAGCAAATTGCCTACCTTTCAGGCGGCTCTCTAGAGACGACAGGGGGGTGATCGCCCCCCCCCCCAAAAAAAAAATGGGACAAAATGCTGTGACCCTCGGGGTGGGCCCCAACGCACTCAACGTGTTAAATTGTTCAATTGATCCCTTTCTTGAGATTTTTTTTTAAATTGATGAAATAATTTTTCCTAGCCAACTTTAACCCGGTGGGAAACTAAATTTCACAGGGATGCCCCTAATGTCTCACAGAACACTGCACATATTGTAGTCCCTGTAATAATTTCTGCGGCCCCTCTTCTCATTGTCCCTGGAGGATACTCAAACTCTTGTAGTCTCTTGAGTAATGTCGCTAGTCCCTATGCAGCCTCCCGGCCTGCTCCCCGAAAAAGGATCCGTAGACACCTTTACAAGGTAGATGTACGCCAGACCACGTCTCGCGTAACAGGCTTCGCGATATCTCACGAAACACTGTTACGCTGCGACGCGCCTGGAATACATCTACCTTGGACTGCGGCGCTGACACCCGAGTCGGGTAGTGGGAAAATGTACACAAAGGTACGGGCCTACGGCCCGTCAACGGCCAATCACCTCGACTAAGCATGCAGGGTTTAGAATTTTTTCGCTAATTTCCGGCAAAAATACCCGCTAGCGCCTTAACGGTTTGCGCTAGAGCAAAACAGACAACATTTTCGCCCGGAGAGCCCTACTTTGATGAGTTACCCCTTAGGAAACCATAAAAAAAATATTTTCAAAAAACGTCGTTTTTGAGACCTATTGTTTCAGATTTTTTAGCCCGCTCTTTTGCTTAAAAGCTATATAAGCGGGCTTATGCCATCGCCTCTGT